TCTTTATTGATAAATGTCATTAACTGAACTCGTTCCACCAAAATTTTTGAAAATAATAAAAACATGAAAAGAACTTAACTATTAGATGATTTACAGCTAAATCAATTGATGATTTAAGTCAGAAATACAACGATTAATCATACCATCACAGACCTAGTGAATCTTTCAATAACAAAGCAAATTATTAATTATAATTTAATCATAGGTGTAAATAAATGTCTTTGACATACCAGGAACAAATTGTAGGAGGTATTGTATTGTAGATGCTTGAATCCTATATAACTTGGTCACTTTTCCAAAATCGAAGTAGCTCGAGAATTCCTTTTGTGCTGTATATAAAAAAATTTTTTAATGGTGACGTTGCAATAAAAGCCAAATGAATATATTTTTTAGACAACCTACGTGATGTCGAGTACCTCATTTTGAAATTCGTGTACGTATTACCATTAAAAGATTGTTACATTTCCATTGAGAACAACTCACCTAATCAATGTTATCAGATTTTTTAATATAATCATTTGTTTTCTCCGAAAAGACATTTATTATTCTTTTTATTGGTAAATTTCTTTTTTATTGTAACTATTTTGTATTAAAGAAAATATAAAGAAAACCACTCGTCAAGACTGCAGGACTGCATATACAATGACAATTTCACCAAAATTAACCTTTTTTTATTTTACCAAACTATTAATGCAATTTTTATTACACGATAATCACGTGTAAGTCACGGTCATACATTTAGAGAGTTTGATTTTGTATATACGAGAATTAAAAACCCCGTGTAGTGTAGAGTGTAATAGTAAAGGGCGTGCATTTATCACCAAGTCTGGAACTTGGAATAGTGTGGATTTAAAGGGGATGCACTTAGAGATGGTTGATTGCATTGCAATGTAACCTTTTGGTTAAAGCTGGTTATTTAACAAGTACGACTGATGAAAGCTTGGCTACTCTTATGAGTTAATTTCAAGAAATACGCAATAACTCAATGCTTGTTTACAAATTTAT